TTGGCGGTCAAGCGCAACGCCGGGATTGTCTCCACACAGGCCAAGCACGCGGCAGCGGCGCAGGGGTACAAGGACATCGCTGTCCCTGGCTTCTTCAAGTGGCTCCAGGAAAACTTGGACAAGGAGGATTTCTTCTTGCAGCCGTGGCTCACGTTCGAGGTCATCGGGAAGACGTCCATGAAGGGAGGTAAGACACAACCAACGCGGGAGAGAGGCAGGTTTCGAGTGCGAAGACAACCGTCTTGAGGGAGAGGGACTGGATGCGAGTGTGTGCCTGACCCTCTGCGCCTTCATGATGTGCTGTTGAACATGACATGCTTTACGTAGGGTGTAGGGTGTACGGTCCGGCCAAAGGTTGTTTTTAGGTTGCAGTCAGGCCACGACGGGCTGCTGCAGCAGCAAGAGGAACCAACATGCTGCTGTAGGATACCTTGTCACCGCCCATCATTTGAGCGGCAACCACAGGATGCAACCCGACACCAGTGTACCAGTCTGTGCGTAGCCTTTCGAGCCTCAGTTGTATGGCAACCGAAGCCCGCCCATTTCCTGGAGCATTACCGTAAATGCCACAAGATACCACACCCCCTTGACCGATTTTCAAAGCTCGATTACTCCACGACAAAGAGGATGCACGAACGGAACGGTGCATTTTCGGAAAGCTCTCGATGAGACGGCTTCAACGCCGCCATTGTTGTTTGTCACTGCTGTGACTCCTTTGCTGTTGAGGAATGGGCCTTTGAAAATCGGTCCAGGGGGGTGGTACCTTGTGTCATTTGTGGTACTCTTATTGAGAGGCATGGAGAGCAATGTTTGTAGTCTGCAGCACGTCATCCAGCAGTAGGTATGTTCCGGATAGATCATTGCACATGTTTGATTTGCTGCTACTGCTGACCATTAACTGCTACTGCTGTTCGACTGCTGTTCGACTTGCCTACCCCATGTTACTGCGACGCAAGCGCGGTCTTCTTTACTGACGGCGAAAAATTGTGGAAGCGGTTCGACAAAATCCTGCACGAAATCAAGAAATACTACAACCCCGTGTGGGACAGGTGTGTCTGTTTGTGATCTTGTTTGTGTACGTGCTTGGAGCGGCATCAGTACAGCTGCCTCGCTGCAATTTTTTTTGTTGCCTTCCGTGTAGGGTATTTTCCTGTTCTCTTGTAGCGTGCACTGCTGTGAGCGAGCAGTCGACTGCAACCACGCCCTCCCGAGCAAAACATGGTTGGGGTCGGCGGCGTAACTACTACTGTGTGTACAGTGGTGAGTAGTGCACGTACCTTCCGCTACAGAAGCACCGACGAATAAATCCCGTAGGCAATACTAAATGAAGAAGCGAGGCCGAACACGAAGGAACACGGAGGATATTGAACAGAGGAATTTGTTCTCAAGAATAGTAGTCGGTTTTACGAGAGTAATAATCAGTGATGTTGCGCATGTTTCTGTAAAAAACGCCCCCATGCGCCCGTGTCTGGTGTGTTGTCGTGAGCATCGAACGCGGTGCCTAGCGGTTTGATGTTCTTGTTTTTTGTCCGCATACCAACGGAATTGCCGCACTACATTTCAATTTCGAGATGTCACGTGCCCCGATCGCCATACATGTACTATGCGGACAACAGCAGTGTTGAACAAATGCTCAATCGCGTTAACAGCTGCTTTTGGCGGCAACTCGCTGGCGTTTCCCCCCTTCCCCTTCAAAAAAGCAACATAATACCACTGGTGGGAACAGCTTTTGAGATAGGTGGCCCCAGGGCGTACAACATGTTGCGAAGAAAATAAAGTAGACCGCCCATCCCCCACCGTGTTTCCCCCCGATCATATAAACTACGCATGCAAGTTGTCGCGGTGAGACACACAATAAACAACGATACACTCATGTCAGATATATTGTTGCACTCTCCGCACCAAGTCAAAACTGTAGTCACAAACCCTTGTGCGTTTCGCAGTGTGTCGTTTTGCCCTCGGTACGGTGACCCTCTCCCTGGTCGGCCTACCCTAAAACGATGACGGAAGTCATGTGCATGAGGCACACCGGTGCTGTGTCACTTTGGCCGATTGGCCTGACTCCCGGAACAAATATTCTAAACCTCAGCGAAATATACAGTGGTGTGTATTCTCGAAATAGTTTCCGCGCCACGGCCCTTCGAAATAAGTCGGATAGAAGAAAACCGATCGAAAATAGTAAGACCAGTGGCGACATGGGTGTGAACTGCTGCCCGTCAACATTCGAAATATGTGTCACCTTTGCGCGTACACACGAGCGAGAGTGCGTTACGATCGCTGCCAATCTCACCCGTTCTTCATACCCCTCTCTACCTTGTTCCCGTGCACCCCTGGCCCAGTTTCGTCGAAGGACAACCTCGGGACCAACTACCGTCGGGCAGCCAAGACGAAGACGCCATCGAGTACCTTCTGGACGGAGTCTACCACATGGAATCCGGAACGGGGAACGCAGAGGACCCGATCGAGTTGGAAGAGAGGGGTGGCGGTGACGGAGAGGGTTCGGAAGATGACTCTGGGGGATCGTCACCGACGGAGAGCGAGGACGGCGGGAGTGGAAAGCAGAAAGGTACAGAGGAAGCAGTGGAGCCACAGGAAAGCAGCGGTGATGACTCACCGGCGGGGAAGGGGGGGATGAAGGAGGAGCCAGAAGACGATACGCCGGGGATGATGCCCCCTCCGAAGCAACCTCGGTGTACGCACCGCTCGCCTCCGACCCGCTTTCGTCGCTATTGGTGCGAGAGCGGCACGTCCCGTTGCTAGCGCGGCTGGACACGTGAGAGTTTAGAGTGTGTGTGTGTGTGTTTTTTGTGTACGGGCTATGGCAGCCATGCTTGTCATGCCCTCTCCCCCNAAGCGACGAAAGCGGGTCGGAGGCGAGCGGTGCGTACACCCCCCGTCGTCTTGGGCGCATCACGGTCTGCAACACGGTCCGCCCTCCCGGGATTCACCGGGGCGCGGAAGAGGGGTGGTTTTGGTGCGAGAGCGGCACGTCCCGTTGCTAGCGCGGCTGGACACGTGAGAGTTTAGAGTGTGTGTGTGTGTGTTTTTTGTGTACGGGCTATGGCAGCCATGCTTGTCATGCCCTCTCCCCCTCTGTCCCCTTGTGCCCAATTTTTTTTGTAAAGACGTTGTTTGCATCGTCCAACATGCCTTATCTTTGGGTGTTTTTTTTTCTTGTAGCGGTTGTGTTTTTTTGGCGTACGGGCTACGGCAGTAACGCTTGTCATGCCCCCCCCCCCCCCCCCCCCCCCCCCCCCCCCCCCCCCCCCCCCCCCCCCCCCCCCCCCCCCCCCC